CCCCCCCCCCCCCCATTAGATTAAGCAGAAAGTAGATTGAATGTATATGTTACAGACAGTTTAGTGCCCAAACGGTTACACTTTTGGTTTATATACTAAGGGGTCTATTTATCAACAATTTACAGGGCCTTTGCCCTGAGAATATACTAAAACATTCATTGTGGGTGAGGCTTGCCAAAAATAAATGTTCTCAATATACACTATATTGCCAAAAGTATTGGGATGCCGGCCTTTACACACACATGAACTTTAATGGCATCCCAGTATTAGTCTGTAGGGTTCAATATTGAGTTGGCTCCGCCCTTTGCAGCTATAACATCTTCAACTCTTCTGGGAAGGCGTCCACAAGGTTCAGGAGTGTGTCTATGGGAATGTTTGACCATTCTTCCAGAAGCGCATTTGTGAGGTCAGGTACTGATGTTGGACGAGAAGACCTGAAAAACAACCCCACACCATAATCCCCCCTCCACCAAATTTTACACTTGGCACACTGCAGTCAGGCAAGTACCGTTCTCCTGGCAACCGGCAAACCCAGACACGCCCATCGGATTGCCAGACAGAGAAGCGTGATTCGTCACTCCAGAGAACACGTCTCCACTTCTCTAGAGTCCAGTGGCGGTGTGCTTTACACCACTGCATCCGACACCACTGCAATCTGAAGGCCACACGAAGTTTGGAGGTCTATAGCTATTGACTCTGCAGACAGTTGGCGACTTCTGCGCACTGTGCAATTCAGCAGGCGCTGACCCCGCTCGGTCATTTTACATGGCCTACCACTTCGTGGCTGAGTTACTGTTGTTCCCAGTTGCTTCCACTTTGTTATAATAGCACTAACAGGTGACCGTGGAATATTTAGTAGCAAGGAAATTTAATGGATGGACTTATTGTACAGGTGGCAACCTATCACGGTACCACACTTGAATTCACTGAGCTCCTGAGAGCGACCCATTCTTTCACAAATGTTTGTAGAAGCGTCTGCATGCCTAGGTGCTTGGTTTTATACAGCTGTGGCCATGGAGGTGATTGGAACACCTGAATCCAATAATTTGGAGGGGTGTCCCAATACTTGTGGCAATATAGTGTATATTTTCCCACTTCAAATGTGGTGTGTTGTAATAATACATAATGGACCCTATATGGAGCCGATGAGAATTGGAAATACTTTTTTTCCTATGCTCCTCAGTTCCATCTAGGGGCCATAATGTATTATTACAACACACTAGATTTGAACCGGGAAAAACTATATTAAGAACATTTGTTTTTGGCATTCTTTGCCTGAAACCAATGTTCACAGCTATTCACAGGGAGAAGGGCTCTGTGAATTGTTTATAAATAGACCCCTAAGTCTTTGAAGTCCATAAATAAATTGCCAGAGTACATTAGCTGTATACGTTGCATGTTCAAGACACTCTACTTGTATCAGTGGCTTTCTTCTGGGTTCTGTCACACTGCTGGGCACCATAGAACCATCTTTAGGGTGTTCTAGAAAATTCCTGGAATATGCCATTAAATAATGTTTTGCCTTTTTTACATGATCACATTTCACTAATCATATCATCTAGGGATGCACAGATACTTTTCGAGTACCAATGCTGATACTTGGCATTTTCATGAGAACTACCAGGGTTGCAGAGGTTGCACCTGGGACCTGGCTCTGGCGCTCCACCACTGTCCTGAAATCATTAGTCTGTATTGTTTTAGAAAAACTGTCACATGACAATAAACAAAAATGTATCAGTACTCGTACTTGTAAGTACTCAGCAAGTACCAGTACTCGTACTCGCAAAACTGGTATCTGTGCATCACTTTATTTATATTTATAAAAAACAAAATCGTACATTAAAACTGAGATGTACAAATCCCGGGAGCTTCGTGTGCTCCTTACAAATGAAAGCTGCCTCCTAATTTTTGGATTTTTCTCTAGTCTAGTCTTGGAGCTCAAAAGTATCTGTACATGTACTCGTACTTGTACCGAGTACTGTACTTGGTATCTGTGCAACCCTAATATCATCCCATACCTTTGGAATCCTGGAATAAATGAAAAAAATCCCCTTGCTTCTGTTTTTTGGTAATGAGCATATTTTGTCAAGTGATTAGTAAAGGTTAAGTTTACTTTTCTGATCATGTTTCAGGTTACACCCATCGACAAGGTATAACATGAAACATGGTCAGAACACAAAACCCCACCAACCACATCCTGCCCCCTTCACTTACCTGAATCGTGGGGTTTATCGCCACAGGCTGGTGTTATTTTTTATATCTTCAGAGTGGTTGTACATCACTACTCTTGTAGTCCATTCGTTCTTTCCCCCCCCGTGATGTTGCTGAATGTTCATACAAGGTACAGACGGAGGGGAGGAAGAAAATAAGGAGCCAGAGCATTGCCTCCACAATTCACTGATCGCAGTTGCAATGTCATTTATACCATTCTTTCGCTGACTGTGAGATGAGCCAATAGGAGTGGTAGGGCATTCATACAGTAGACAATTACAGAAAGCCAGGGTTCAGCGCAGAGCGGATGGCAGGTCATAGGTCATATCTAGGGATGTCCTGATACCAATGCTAGTATTAATTTCGGGGCTGACACAGGGCATTTTCACTGGTACTTGTACTCGTGAAAATGCCATGATATTAAAGGCCGATACTGGCCCTTTAACTTTTATAATAAAAGCGGCTGCCTGAGGTCCCGCGTTTGCCGGAGACCTCCGACAGCCTGCTGGGAACCTCGCGGGAGCTCTCTTTGACAGCACCAGTCCGGCCCCATATCTCCTCCTTCCCGGCGCCTGCAGAGACTGGCACAGCACTGGACAGCCCCACACCCACCCCTACAGCCCTGGAGCCTGGCACAAGCCTGGCACCCACCCATTCAGCCTTGAAGAGCACGGGACCGGCCCGCAGAGCATTGGAGAGCCCGGCACCTGCCCGCAGAGCACTGGAGAGCACTGCACCCACCTGTACAGCCCCAGAGAGACCCACATGCAGCCCTGGTGACACCTGCACACATCCCTAGGGAAATCTGCATGCAGCGCTAGTGAGACCCAAACACGGCCCTGGTGAGACTCACACGCAGCCCTGGTGAGACCCAAACGCAGCCCTGGTGAGACCCAAACGCAGCCCTGGTGAGACCCAAACGCAGCCCTGTATAATTGCTGTATAATCATAGATTGATGGGATCTGTAGTACTCTATTGCTGGTTGCCATTTTCTATTGCTCAATAATCATGGATTGAGTTACAGTTCTTCATAATTATAAAGAAACTGCCCTCAAATCATTAGTCTGTATTGTTTTAGAAAAAAATGTCACATGACCCCTTAAGAAAAAGTATCTGTAATTGATATCAGTGAGTACCTGAGGGAAAGTACTTGTACTTGGTCTTGAAAAAATGGTATCGGGACATCTCTAGTCATACCCTATTACTTTTCATTCTGCATTTAATCCATAAGCTCAGGTGCAGTGGGTCTGCCCCTGCCCTGCAAGGGTTAACTGTGCATTTTGTCTAGGGAGCTAAAATAACAAAGATATATTCACCCTACCCATGATCCTGGCCGGCTCTTAGACCCGTCCCTTCAGCCTGTCTCCCCCTCCACTCCAGCAGTCTAAGGTCCTTTGAGTCATCACATCCTATACAGTGTATAGGATGTGAGGACACCGAGGGACATTCCAACACGGATGTTAAGATTTTATTTGCCCAGAGTTCTCTTTTAACCACATATGTGAATGTATCATAAGGAGATATGATAACCTGCAAACAGCAAGGATGTGTACTGACCCATCACTGACACATCATTGAGGGGAATTTACTAAGGGCCCATTCACACCAAAGCGTTGCACCAATCACACACATGCCACCATGCATTTAGCACACGCTCTCACACAACACACCTAGCACATGGTACTGTGCACTAGATGACTTGAGTTGCCATTCATTTGAAGAGCATCTCACTGCACCTCCTGGCAGCTGTGCATTGCAGTGCCACATGCGGTACCACATTACTGTGCGTTGTGTTGTGGTGGGGAAAAAGTAGTGCATGTGCTACTTTTTCTCAACGCAATGCTCCGATGTTAATGGGCCCTAAGACTGGAGCAGACAGAATCTTGAGCAGCTGAGCATGACAACCAGTCAGCTCCCATCTATTATTTTCAATGCTTAAAGCAGACATTGTTGCTTTATGTGCAAGTATGTACAGCACACTTACTGCCCCCTGCAGCCGCCATCTCTGCTGCTGACACTTCCAGGTTCTTGGAAGTCCTATTCAACCATTGAGTTGCCATTGATGATGTAACTCCTGCGCATGTGCACAGGAGTTACATCCTCCATGTCACCCAGCTGAATGGGCCGAGTGTGTACACTGTACAGCACATGCTCTGCACAATGTACACAGAGAATAAAACATTGCTGGGAGAGAGCAAGAATCTTTTCAGGAGAAGAGACTTTGCATGTCCCAACCTCCCAGCATTTTTTATTTTTTTCCTCTATACTTCCATATTAACTGAACAAACGGAAGATAGAAGCTGATTGGTTACAGTGCACAGCTGCTCCAGTCTTAGTAAATTCCCCCCTACTCTGTTTAAAGCGAATGTCAGATAAGCTGCTACTGGATACACTTCATGATGATCATGTTCCGGGAGTCTGAGACGTGCCATGTTTGCTCTGACCTTTTTACTGCCAATGCATGAAGTTCAATTCACAAAACTTTCATTTAAGAACAAGGATCTTTATTCTAGCATGTGATGGTAATTCTCCAATCTCACCTAAAAATACCTGTCACTTTGTTAAATAAGTATCTTATCCCAGCCGGTGTGTTATCTCTGTGAATTGAGCATTAAGTGCAGAAATGATCAATCAGTGGCACATGTCATCTTCTGGATGATATCTGGGATGGGGAATTATGATAACCCAGCAGCGGGGAGCCTCTCTTACCTTCCTTTCTTGTTTGGCGCTGGATGGTTTCAGTGGGTCCTTGGCTGCGGCAGACATTGCGAGGTGAAGGTGTTGAGATGTCAGCAGTGGCTGCTGCCCAGAGCCTCTCTCTATCCTCAAACTGCCAGAGCTCTTTTTGCTGTGCCTGTTCAACACTTTCCCGCTCTAGCATTATATACAAGCCCCTATTAGCATGTGAATTGCTCTCTCTCCTTCTCTATTGAAAGATTCCAGGCACAGATGTCCAGATTGGGGGCTTTTGTTAAGATCACACCACCCCCTTAAAATACCCGTGCCACAATGTAACCCCATCGCATCCAGGAATGCGCTAACCCTGTATCTGTGCCATGACACAAGAGATAGCTGAAGGCTCAGGTCAAGCCCCAGCTTCCATTCAGAAAAGTGTGCTGAAACATTAAAGAAGGACAGAGAAGTGAGATGATGTTTTAAAATGAAAACCTGCTGAAATGACAAAACACAATGATTAACACAATCGTGCAAACTGAAATGATATTACGGACACCCTCAAAGACTGTGTCCAAGATACTGTCTACGTACATACTGCAGAGCATACGTAGGGCAGGAACTCAGGATCAGACCTGCTCAGCTAACACATGCTCAACAGAAGGAGGAGGGGTCACAGGTCTATTTATAGGGGTCATTTACATCACTGTGATGCAACATCCCACGCGGGCTGTAGGGTGCGTTGTGGTAGGGCAGCCCATTCATTCAATCCAATCGCACCTTTTTTTTTTTTTTTATCGCAGCACACCACAAAGCGAATTAAAGATGGGTGTATCGGGGTGGCATTCATAAATAATCGCACCACAGTGCATCTATCAACATGTACAACATGTGATTCGGGATCGCGTGCGGGAAACAAGCCTAAGGGTTCGTTCACACCATAGGGCAGTGCGTTCCCGTCAGAATCGGACCGGAACGCACTGCCCGCATTGCGGCCGGCTCACTTTTTTGCCGGGCTGGAGGGGGCGTGGCGGGCTATTGAAGTGAATGGCACTGTAGCCACGCCCTGCGGCCGCAATGCCATCGCCCGCACGGGTTCGCAAGGGACATTGTGCCTGCAGTGCGGTCCGGTGCTATCAAAATAGTGCTTGCAGCATTTTGATCACACCGGACCGCAGGCATATTGTGCCTTGCGATCCTACAGCCCTGAGTAGAAGTGGTTCTCACTTACAGTGCAGCAACCTAAAGGAAATGCATACCCCTAACTTTCTGGGATGGTAACACTACACTAGTTTAGTACCTTAAACTAACAAATTCAATACTTCAGTGGTTGGATATACAGGGTATTGAAGTGGTTGGATGGATGTCGGGTCTAATGCAGTATAACCATGGCCATCTTTAATATTGATTGGAGCCCGGGCAAACATTTTCTTGAACCCCCACCAAGCCCCGCCTCCTACCTAACATGCTCCCCCCATGCAGTATTGCCCACTATATGCTGACAGCACAGAGCCGCGCTGCAGCTGGAATGGATCCAAAAAATATTGTCCCGATCCACCCCACCACCTGATTGACAGCTGAATCTACCTCTCTAGAGGCTGTGTCCACCCCCTCCCCATCCAGTTAGCGCTGGAGGATCTGAGAAGGGAAGGGGGAAACCCTGCGGGGAGCGGTACTGACAGTCACCACTCTCTGCAGAGAGAGTGAGTGCAGGAACTGAGTGATCAGTTCTCGATCAATAAAACCAAGCTGGGACAACTTCAGAGTGCATTTCTCCTTTCATGGTAAATGTGTAGATCATTTGCCACCTACCACTTTCACTGCATAGAATAGCAACAACAAGAATAATAAAGGGAACATGCTCAGGTGTCATTACTATTATTATTATTATTACTATTATTATTATGTCCCCTGGTGTCATTATTATTATTTTAAATGAGAATAATAATAATAATAAAATTATGACACCAGGGGACATAATATTGACACCTGAGCATGTCCCTTGGAAAAATAATAATAATACCAGGGGACATGCTGATGTGTATTTATTATTATTATTTTTTTCCCCTGGTGTCATTATTATTTAATAAAAAAAAAAAAAATTATTATAAAAATGATGACACCAGGGGACATGCTCAGGTGTCATCATTATTTTCCTTATATACCATAGCCCAACAGTGCCACACCTCCCCCCCCCCCCCACGAGA